CCTCCGAGATCCCACAGCAAGGAGGAAGGATAGTTATCAGTGCTGAACACAAGACATCCTTAACATCATTTTTGAAGCCCCACAGTTAAAGGCACCTTTCCATTCCCAAATATTCTTTTCCCCCAGCAGAATCCAGTGCTTTGGCAGTTTTACTTCCCTCACTCTAAAGCTGGGGCACTTGTGGCAGCGTCCCAGCGCTACAAAGATGGATCCAACTCAAAAGTCTCTGGACCAGGATTTAGGGAAAGAAATCCTCCCACTGCCTCTCGGAGCAGCAACCCAACCCAGGACTGAAGCGTCCCAGTAAAAAAGGCCGTGGAAGTGTTAGAAAGGCCCAAGCACAGGAAGCAGCACCTCAGAGGGGAAAGCAGGAGAGGACAGAGCTGATTCCACCTGCTCAGTCTGGAAAAGCCACAGAGCTCAGCACTCAGGGAACGGAGAGCTCCCCGATGGGAAACCACAGCCCAAGGACATGAGGGGTTGGGAACGGCTGACCCACCCCACAGAGGCAGCCCAAGTGTGGATTTGGGGCATTCCACAGCTGGCTCAACACCCACAGATCCTGCAACAAAGGGAAACCACCACCACCCCCCCTCCACACACGAGGGGAACGCTGACCACAGACAGGGTTTCCTCGTGGGAACGTGCACAGGCAGCCGGATCTCTGTGGGATGTCCCTGCCTGCCCCTGCTGCTCCTGGGGCTGCAGCTGGGGGTGACACTGCTCTGATCTGGGGTCCCCTGATCCACTTCCATCTCCCAGTATAAATGGGGTCCCCGGATCCAGTTCCATCTTTGATCCCTCAGACTCAGTTCCTCTCCCAGAAGAGCTGGGAGTCCCCCTAATTCAGTTCCATCTCCCAGTGTAACCAACTGGGGTCTCCTTGCTTCAGTTCCATCTTTGATCCCTTGGATTCATTTCCCTCTCCCAAAACATGCTGGGGGTCCCCCCGATTCAGTTCTATTTCCCAGCACGCTGGATCCCCCCTGCTTCAGTTCCCTCTCCCAGCACAGTTCCATCTCCATCCTCACTCCCTGTGAGGTAAATCCCTGCCCTGAACCCCTCCTCTTTTCCTGACCATTCCCACGGCCAGAGCGTGTCCCACAGAGACCCACAGATCCCCGAAATCCCTGGCTGCACCCCCCGAGCCAGCCCTGTGTGCCTGCAGGAGGGGGCAGAGCAGAGGCAGGACCGACCTGCAGCGTCAGGGGGGCCTCCCGGTTGTACCGACCGTCGTCCTGGAACGGGGAGGTCCTGGGGCCCCCCGACTGCCGCAGGCGGAAGCTGAACTGGGTGTCCCCAAGGCCACCTGGGACAGAGAACAGCACAAGGGCTCAGGAGAGCTGGGAAGGGGTCAACACGGGACAGGGATGGGGGGTTTGCAAGGGGCTCCGACGCTGAAATGGAGAGGAACAGCACAAAGAAACCCCCGGAAGACAGCACGAGGCAGGAGGGGAAGGAGGGAGATATCAGGAAAATGTCCTTCCCTGGGAGGGTGGGGAGGCCCTGGCACAGGTTGGGCAGAGAAGCTGTGGCTGCCCCTGGATCCCTGGGAGTGTCCAAGGCCAGGTTGGACGGGCCTTGGAGCGACCTGGGCCAGTGGAAGGTGTCCCTGCCCATGGCAGGGGGTGGCACTGGACAATATTTAAGGTCCCTTCCCACCCAACCCATTCCATAAGCCTGTGGAAGCTGTAGGAAACCAACACCCTTAAACAACCAGGGCTGGATTGAGACTTATTTCTTATTGTCCCCTCTCTGGTGTAAATACAGGCTCTGGGAACACTTTTGCTGTGGAATTGTCCTCTCCCAGCTCCTGCTCCTCACTGGGCACTCACAAACACAGGAATGTGGGAGCCAAGAGCTGCCACCTCAGGGAATCCTTCCTGGTCCTGCTGGATATTCCACTGGCACGGGGGGGGAGCAGGAGTGCACGAGTTTATGGAGGAATCACCCAGCAGATCACAGATTCTGTATGCAGAGATCAGCCAACAGGACAAGAAGCCTCTTTGCTCAGCCCTGAGGGCACCAGAACCCCGGTTCTAGAGGATGCAGCCCCATCAGTCTGTGCTGCATCCCAGGGGATAACTCAGCCCTTCCATCCTGGACCCATTTCCTTCACCCCTGGTGCCACCTACCTGAGTAGGAATCTGGGAAGGACAAGTAGCAGATACTCGTTTTCTGCAAAAAAAACCCCAAAACACCCGGTAAGGACCCCCCCATCAGAGCTGCTGAGTGGCTTAAAAACGGGAGAAGAAAAGGGAATAAATAGTTGTTACCTCTTTCTCTGTCAGCCTGAAGTCATGAGGATACACCAGCTGCCAAAGAGACAGGAGACAGTCAGTCAGTGTGTGTTCCCCGACTTCCACACACTAAAAATGCCTTATTTTCCCCAAATTAACACTTATTTCTCCCAAAGTGACAGACCCTACAAGGAGGCACCTTGACCCACACAGCCTTTCCTGGTGGGAAAATGCAGGAATTGCAGGGGGCTTTAAGTGGGCGGAGGAGAAAGGAAGCGGCCCGGGATGAGACGGGACACGGAGATCTGTCCCAGCCACGGGAACTCTGCTCCAGAGGCAGCTGGTTCTCAAATCAGGAGCTCCAAGCAGCGCTTGGCTCTCCCTCCCAGGCTATAAATAGCACAAGGTGGCACCGTGCCAGGGTGCTGGAAGTTCACGGAGCGCTGACAATTCCCCACGGGTTCCTTGGCAAGGGCGCCTCGGCGAGAGCCAAAGCTCCCAACCGACAGTGAACAGCGCTCAGCCCTCGCTGAGAGCCGCTCTGGGAGCGGGGAGATGCTGCTGCTCAGAGGGAAAACCATCCCAGAGCAGCTCCAGGGGGAGGCAGCACGGGCAGGGAAGGGTTTGGATGGCGCAGGGTGAAGGGATGGGGACGGTCGCGGGACGCGCTTCCCTCCGCTCCGTTCCCGCCTCAGTCCCATGGCTGGGGCTGATTTAATCACCAGACAAACGTGGACTCTGCTAATTCCCACGGAATAACGGCCAGCCCAGGAGCGGGGAGACCTGGCCAGCTGGTCCTGATTCCCCAGGAGCCCAGGAATCCCACGGCACCCGGCTTTCCACACTCGTTGAAGGTCTAACTCAGACCAAGGGTCAAGACAAGGCTCCCACTTCTCCTGCTGCATTTTTGGGGGGCTCCTTCTGCAAGCAAATGGCTTGAAAATCAGGCCTTGGCTTCCTTGATGATCTTGGAGGTCTTTTCCAACCTTAATTAATCTCTGATTTTGCATCTTTAATTCCCACTGCCTTTAAGTCTGACGTTCCTCTACGTTTGGGGTGGGGGGGGGCAACACATCTCTAAATATCCACACGATTAAAACCTCCAAATCCAAACCAGAGAGAATCTGTTTGGCCACAACTTCTCAAAAGCAAAAAAAAAAAAAAAAAAAAAAAAAAAAGGTAAACAAAAAAGGAATTTTTGACGTGTGAAAAGTCCAAAAGGGCTTAAGCCGTGCCATGCCGTGCGGTAAGTGCTGCTCTCCCCATCCACGGGAATGAAGGAGTAAGGAGGAGATATATGTTGGAAAGGGATCCCAGCACCCCAAACTCTGGATCCTGGGAGGGGCCAAGAGCTGCTGCCATGGCAACGGGGCCAGCATCCCAGGAAATGCCTGTGGAGGAGCCCAGCCTCACGGAGTGCCTGTGTCTGAGCAGCCTGTGCCAGTGACAACAGGGATGGTTTGGCACCACGGGGAGGCATTTCCACGGGGAGGAGAGAAGTCAGAGCCTCGAGGGGTTGGAGGGCAAAGGGCTGGTGGGGAGGGCAGGGCGAGCATCCCAGACCTGGCTTCTCCCTCCCTGGCGCTTTTCCCTCCTGTCACTGACTGTTTGAAGAATTGTAAATGGGTGGAGGGGTCAGAGACAGAAATGCACCTAATTCCTGCAGCGACCCGTGCTTTCCTTCCCAGCAGCTTCCCCGCCGTCTCTGCAAACAGCAGTACAGGGGGAAATCACTGAACTCCAGAATATAATTTGAATCTTTCTTAGAATCTTTGAATCTCTGAAGCTTTCAGAGCTAATTCCAGGCCAATGACAGAAGTACACCGAGAGACAGGGGCACGGAACGTAAAATACACGGAATTCAGGATCCTGAGCAAGGGCCCCAAGCAAGGGCTTGGCTGCGAGGTCTGTACCCACAGACCCCCGAGTTTGCACCTACAGAATCCCCCCAACTTGTACCCTAAACCCCCATCCCTAACTCCCTTCTCCCCCCCACCCCCCCCACCCCCACCGCTGCCCCTCCGCGCACCTCCATGGCCTGCCCGAGCTCCAGGTCGAAGGTGACCACACACACGCAGTCGATCCAGGCTGCGAAGCGGCCCCAGGGCAGCGGGGACGAGCCGGGCGCGGCGGGAGCGGCGGGGCCGCGGTGGGCCCGGGGCCCTGCCCGGCTCAGCGCGTCCATGGCGGCGCCGGCCCGCCCCGCCCCGCCGAGCTCCGCCGCGCCCCCTGCCGGCCCGGAGGTCCCGAAAGCACCTCCCGCACCATCGAGACGGGCCTGGGCGGAGCAGAGCGGTGCGGGGGCGGGGAGGGGGTGTCATGGCGGGCGGGAGCGGCGGTGTGAGGGGAGCGGCGGTGTGAGGGGAGCGGCGGTGTGAGGGGAGCGGCGGTGTGAGGGGAGTGGCGGCTCTGCGGGGCTCGGCGGCGGCTGGAGCGGGGTGTGAGGGGCGGCTGGTGCCGCTGAATCCACCGCGGCGTCGCCGCTCAGCCCCTGGTCCCCGGGCTGTGCCGCCCCGGCCCCGCGTGTCCCCGGTGCGAGCCTCGCCGACCCTCCCGTTCTCAGCCCCCAGGCCCGGTGCCCCCTACCCTGCCGGCAACGGGGCCGATTTTAGGAGCTCTCTAAACGCAGGCAACGTTTAAAAAGCAGACGCTGTTTATTCTGTGCGGGGGAGCTTTCACAAACCAAGCACTTAAGTAAGGGCTAAAAAAGTTCCGTCTTTTAGACATCCGAATTTCCATGGCCCCGCCTGTCTCATGCATATGCCCCGCCCGCCTAATGCATATTCATTTATGGACGGGATTTTTAGGCGATGCTTGAAACTCGGATTTCTTTTTTTCTGTATTAAGCAGCTTCTGCCGTAGAAGTTACCTGACGACATAGTTACGTTTTGGAAAGGTGAGGGAGTGACATCAATCCCTTTTTGCAGCAGTTACCTGACGGCATGGTCACGTTTACAAAAGTTGAGGAGATGCAGGTAATTCATCCTGGCGGGCTTTGGGGGTTTTATTTATTGCCAGGCTGCTGCTCAGCTATGTCAGCCCTAGAGCAGGGAAGGATTGGAATCGCTGGAAAGAGAAAGTGTAAGAAGAACAATTCCACCCTGGGAGTGCCCAAGGCCTGGTTGGATGGGGCTTGGAGCAACCTGGGACAGGGGAAGGTGTCCCTGCCCATTTTTCTAAAATGCAGGACAACAGTCAGAGAAAAGAAGTGAAAAAAAATTTGCCAGACCAAGAGCTGATTCTTGCCAGGGAAGGGACAGGATGAAAAGGTAGGAAAAATAACTTGGATAAAAAAATATTGGATGTCTTATTGCCCCATAATCCTTTGTCCCATAATTAAAAAATCACTTTTAGTCTTATTCCAAGGGTCTCACAGAGGCTTCACTGCAGCCGCATGCACATGACCAGCTTGGCAAGCAGAACGAAATTTACTGTGAATAAAAAGGGTGAGGAAAGTGCTGAGAGCACCTGAGAAGTATAAAATTGGGGGCTGAAGGGTTTAAATTAATATGGAAACACAGCTTTACTCTGACCAGGGAACTGTCAGAGGCAGAAAGTCAGATCCAGGGTCCCCATTTCTCCCTTCACAGAGAATTTCCTGGAGTTGTGTGGCAAGACAGGCATGTGTTGGAATCACAGAATCATGCAGTGGATTGGGTGGGAAGGGATCTTAAAGTTCACCTCCTGATATTCCACCCCCTGCCGTGGACAGGGACACCTTCCACTGGCCCAGGTTGCTCCAACCTGGCCTTGGACACTTCCAAGGATCCAGGGGCAGCCACAGCTTCTCTGGCCAATCTGTGCCAGGGCCTCCCCACCCTCCCAGCCAGCAATTCCTTCCCAATATCCCATCTGTCCCAGCTCTCTTGGAGCCCCTTTAGGCCCTGCAAGGGGCTCTCAGGTCTCCCTGTATCCTTCTCTTCTCCAGGTGAACCCCCCAGCTGTCCCAGCCTGGCTCCAAGGGAAGGTTCACACGAGCTGAGGCCCCACCCCGAGGGAATTTTGCTTTCATGTTGTCTAAACACCAGAGACCTTATAATTAATTTCCTCGGCTCCTGTTGACACAGCCCGGGGCAGGTTTGAGCCCGGATGGGTGTCGTGCTCTGACCAGGGCAGAGGGTGCAGGGAAGGTGTCAAATCCCTCTGCACAGCGGGATTTGCTCAGAGAAAAGAGTTCAAGTCCCCTCCGCAGGAGCCGCTGAGCTCCCGGTCCCACGGGGCAGCTGATCCCAGACCCCCCGTGAGCCCTGGCACTCCTCGGTGGCGCTGGACCATATTTGGGCACCGCTGGCTGCGCAGATCCAGCCCCGCAGCGCTGGTCCCGATGCCGCTCCCAGCTCGGGGCCGCGGAGCCGCCGGGGCAAGCGCCGGGGCTGCTCCACATCATCTCCCCGACAACGCCGGTAAACACAACATTGCTCAACCCCCAGCGCAGCCCCTGCGCCCCCGCTATAATTATCTCCTGCATCGCAGCTCTCAGGAGCCACCGGATCCTGCGGGATCCTCTGCATCCAGCTCCCCTCCGTCTGCCCCTGCTCCCGCGCTGCCGGGCGGGATAATATTCCCCAGACGGGAGGAGGAGCGTTCCCCGCAGCCCCGAGGAACGTGCGATGAGCTGCGCGCCAAGAAATGCGAGGCGACCGCCTCGCTGCTCCGTGCTGTTTATACTCTGGGCGTTCAGAGCTTTGTTATTCGAACAGGGCCTTGTCGCTTGCCCCCAGAGGCAGCCAAATATAAATCTTGGGGTCTGGAAAGCCCGACACACAAAGAGCGAGTGTTTAGGAAAGAGCCTGTGGCTGCAGTGGAAGGAAGGAGGGCTCTTCCCCTCCTCCCCTCAGGGTTTCTCAGATTAATGTCAAACTGTAGCTGGGAGATCCTGTTTAATGTCTGTTGTAGGCACCAGATCATGCTTCAGCTCTGAGCCAAGAATAGATCCCCGAGTTCATCATCAACAGCCTGTTTCTGGTGGTGCAGCCTCCTACCAAACGTGTGCCTGATCCCATTCCTGGTGGGAATTCCAGAACTGGGGAGCTCAGGGTCTGCAGCCGAAATGCTCCTTGTGCTGAGGGTCTGCAGATACAGGCAGAGTCATGGAATGGGTTGGGTTGGAAGGGACCTTAAAGCCCATCCAGTGCCACCCCTGCCATGGGCAGGGACACCTCCCACTGGCCCAGTTTGCTCCAAGCCCCGTCCTGTGCCCAGCACCTGCTTGTGGGTGCTGGGGAAGAGTCCAGCAGTTGGTTCACAGTGGGATCCAGTGGCCCTGGGACACAGCTAGGGCTCGGCCCCACAGGCTGGAGTGGCTGTCCCTGCCCCTGTCCCTGCCCCTGTCCCTGTCCCGTCCCCGTGCTGGCCGGGAGAGGTGAGCTGAGCTGGCAGCTCCTGCCCCTGCTGCTGCCAAGCACAGAGTTCAGCTGTATTTTAGTGTGTTCCAGAGGGCTGGAGCAGAAAACAAGGAAGCCGTTCCAAGACTGGAACTCTAGAAATCAGCTGGAGGAGACAGGGTGTACAGTCCCATCCCTCCTGCGCTGCCTGGGGACGGGCAGACGCTCTGGAGGGGGCTGGAAGATTTGGGAACTGCTCGGATGGGTGTCGTCCTGTCCCCAGAAGCCACAATAAGCCACAGAAAACGCTTTATAAGCTCATTTTCCCCCAACAGACAAAACAGAGAAGTGAAACTCCTGAAGCTGGGCTATTTTTCCCCTTATTAATGGCCCCCAAAGTGCTAATTACTACACTGGGGGCAGGGTAAATTCTTGAAGTCTTTCCCTTCCAGCCCTAACCGAGGAATTTTACTCATTTAGTCATGAGGGACATTTTTGGTGGCATTTCTGTGGCAGAGCCCCTGCCCCTGGTGGAGGGGTGGAACAAGATGAGCTTTAAGGTCCCTCCCAACCCACACCATTCCATGATTCCACGATTCCACGAGCCCTGTAAAACAGGGCAGTACAAAAGTGTGGGTTTTTTTCTCATGGCAAAGCCCCCGATTTCCCTGTAAATTTTAACCCCGTGCAGGAATATTTGCAGGGTCAGGACCTCGGTGGGACGAGCGAAGGGGCAGATCGGTGGTAAATCTCGTGGCAGGAATTGGCCGTGGAATTAGGGGTTGGATGGGTTCCTGCTGGGTTCCTGGAGGATGCTGGCACTTGGAAAGCGGTTTGTCCACAAGTGAAGGCAAATCCGGGCACGGCGACAGGGCCTCCAGGGAGCCCGGGCTGCCAGTAGGACTGAGAGATGTCCTTCCCCCGGCCCTGGTGGGATCTTCCCCCTCCTGCCCGAGGGCAGAGGCCACGGAAGGGCTCCTGCTGTCCCCATGTCCCCTCGCCGACCTGGGGGTCCTCCCGCTCCTCCTGTTCCTCCCGAGGCCATGATCCACCCTCGGGGGCTGTCGCGGGCTGTGACTTGTCCCCTCGCCCCCAACTCCGTCCCCGGGGCTGGGGCCGCCCCACCGTCCCCGTTCCTATGACCCTGTCCCCCGGTCACTGTCCCCGCCTCCGTGTCCCCATTGCCCCGCCCCGTCCCACTGTCTCCTTCCCTGTCCCCATCCCCGTCCCCCCGTCCCTCTGCCAGTGTCCCCTTCCCTTTTCCCTTCCCCATCCCTATGTCTCTGTCCCCCTGTCCCCATCCCTGTGTCCCCATCCCTGTTCCCTCGTCCCTGTCCTTGTGTCCCCATTCCCGTATCCCTATCCCGGTGTCCCCATCTCCATCCTGGTGTCTCCGTCCCCATCCCGGTTTGTCCCCATCCCAGTGTCCTCATCTCCATCCCGGTGCCCCCATCCCAGTGTCCCCATCCCTATCCCATCCCCATCCCGGTGTCCCCATCCTGGTGTACCCATCTCGGTGTTCCCGTCCCCATCCCGGTGTCCCCATCCCAGTGTCCCCATCCCG